AACACAAAATTGGTAAATATTTTTTTTTTTAATATAAAGGATAAAAAAATCTTTAATATTCAAGGTAAAAGAAAGGTTGTTTTTTTTTTCGAGAAAGATTTATTAATTTACAGTATATTCTTCAAAATTAAACCATTAAATTTATTATTATTATTATTATTCAAACTATTTGTTCTCTTTAGCATACTTTTCTCCCTTTTTTTTCATTATCATATTTTCAATTTATAGTTACAACAGTCGCAATTCAATATCCACTTCTATTCTCATCATAATAAAGTTAATATAACAATAACGATGCCATCACCACCAACAATTCAATCATTTTCCTCAAATCAAAATCTTTCTAAAGCTTTATCAAATATGATTGTGGAATTATCAAAAAAATCAATTGCCACTCGAGAAAGATTTACTATTGGCTTGTCGGGCGGTAGCCTACCGAAAATTTTATCACTAGAATTAAAAAATCGTAAAGACGATATTGAATGGGATAAATGGCAAGTGTTTTTCTGTGATGAAAGGTAAAAAAACAAATTAATTAAAATTAAATCATTAGTAATAATTTAATTGAAAGAATTAATTAATTATTAATGAATTTATTTGTTTTTAAAGACTTGTGGCATTAGATCATCCTGATTCAAATTATTTACTCTGTAAAAATGAATTGTTTGATCATGTACCGATTCCTAATCAAAACATACATGTGATCAATGAAGAAATGGTTCTGGATATTGATAAAATAGTCGTAGAAATGGAAACAAGCTCCATAGATGATGACAATAAAATCAAAAATGATACTACCGAAGATGGAAAATCATCATTTCACTCTAAATTAGATCAACTAAAACAAAAGCTAGAAGAACTTTTGACAGAAGAAGTTGATGATTACGAGAAACAATTAATTGATGTGTTTGCCGGTCTCAACTCGGTGAAGTTTCCTGTATTCGATCTACTTTTGTTAGGCATAGGTCCTGATGGTCATACCTGTTCGTTATTTCCAAATCGTCCAGAACTTGAGGAAACGAGTCTTTGGGTAACTCATATTGAAGATTCGCCAAAACCTCCACCTAGGCGTATAACCTTCACTCTGCCTGTTATCAACCATGCACATAATGTCATATTTGTAGCAACCGGTAAGGGTAAACAAGATATTTTATGTGATATATTAAAAAATACCAATAATAAAAATTTACCTGCTACTTTTGTAAAACCTGTTAATGGTAACTTATATTGGTTTTTGGATGACGAAGCTTCTGCTAAACTTGTATTAGATAATGTTTAGTACATTAAATTTGTTTTTTTGCAAAAAATTTTTTTTAAAATTATATCAATATATGTATATTTGTTTATCATCATCATTATTATTATTTGTATATTTTTTTCTTATATCATATAAATTAATTAGCAAATAAAATTTTTTTAAGTAATTTTACATAGTTTCATTAGAATAGTGGCCGTAATGTTTTGATCGCAAGATAAATCAAAACCTTGTTATATAGTAAAGGAGATACAGTAGATTAGTGGAAATTTTTTTTAAATTAATTGCCAGTCATGATGATTATAAGTAAGTGACCAACGAGTGTTTTATTTTTTTTTTTTTGGTTTTATTTTTTCTATGGCTGGTGAAAAATCAACATCTGTATCTTGTATGTAATATTAACAAACTGTGATAAGGCTTAATCAATAATACCAGATTCCCATAATCAAAATGTTTTCACGTAATATTTATTAATCCTAACATTTGTGAAAATAAAATTTTATTTAAATCTTCCATATATAGCATTAACGGTTTTGAGCTGCACTATATGCGGACGATTTCCAGGTAGGTCTGGCCTTTATCCCTGTGTCCAGAGGGATACAGCTTTAGCCTGGTGAGGGATAGATATAAATGCACTTTGATCACCTGGTCCGTAGATCTTGAGTGGATTATCCGACCGATACCCAAAGATCGAGGCTCTATCCCTACAAACTGAGGAATAAAGGTGTAACCTTTCGGAAATTGTCCGCATGGGCTGTTGAAAAATGTTTAATAAACAAAAAAACCTTATTTTTTATAATAATAGATTTTTAGCTTATTCTATGTATCTTCTTAATATTGGTTCAACAAATATACAATATATGTGGGAATTTAAATGAAGCTTGAAGTTTTATACTTAAATATGTTGGGTATTCTTTGGTGTGTGTTCGCCAGCATAATAGAGACTCCATTCATATAATGAATATTAAAGGTGTTGAAGCAATTTTTGGTTTGGATTACAACAAAATTGTGTGAAGAATCAAAGAGTTGCATTTTTGGTAAATGATGCTAATCTTCTTACAAGAGATTGTGTATTGAAAGAATGCTCCTGGTAAGTTTAAAAAATTGCATTAATATGTTCACAGACACTTTGTCTGAAAAGACCGGGACGCTTGTAATATAGCTATACTACAGACGGTGGCCTATTTCTGTCTTCAGACATGATGGCTCCTATTTCTGTCGTCAGACCACACACAATTGGGCCTATTTCCATCATATGAAGCTATAATATATGAGTATGACAATGGTGACCTAATTCCCGTCGTCCACATAGGATAGACAAACCAAAAACCAAAATCACGCGAAGACCTATTTTGAAAAATTTTTAAATTCGAGCGCGTGGCACAGCAACAGGAGCCATATTAATATATACGTTGGTGGTCAACTATGTTTGTATTTATTATTAAGTTGTAACACCCTAATGCGGAAACATCTTGCGAAGACGAAAAACAAATCGACCTCATTCACACCTTTTCAAGTTTGAATTTCCCATGAAAGTCGCTGCATACTCTTTCAAACAATCTGCCAAAAAAGTTGTATGTATGATATCCTTATAAGGACTCGGATCCTTTTTACCATTGTACTCCATATCGTGATTCTCATTTCAGAATTTCACCATTGCAAGGCCTCAGGATTTTCTACGTGATAACAAAACTGTTCAGCAGGTCAACTTTTTTTGCATGATGGTTCACTGTATCACTGCCTTGATATGTTCATCAGAATAATCTTTGAGCTTTGTGTCCATCAAAACATCAGCGATCTTTGACTGAAGTGGATAACTAACGCTGCTTGATTCTCGCAACAAATGTAGATGCAATAGTGTTTCTTTGCAACTTCCTTGATGGACCATGATTTTCCGACTCCACAATCTCTGTAAATGGCGCGTATTGTAGGACTTACAAAGACAGTTGTCGATGTAAATGATCAATCCATTGACGATAATATTTTTGTTGTCAACATATTCGGTGCCAAAAGCATTGCTTATGTACCCACTCCTCTATCACTGAAAATGATGTAATGTCTGTACCTGCTTCTCACATTTTTCCTTCCCTACTCCAACTTCATTTTCTCCTCTTCAAGTATCTCTCTCTCTCGACCTGCCGCTTCTTTTTTCTTGATTATTTTCAATTCTTCTTCTACCAATTTTATTTTAATTCCTTCAACCTTTCCAACTTACTGCTCAACTTTTCATATTTATCTCGTGCATATTAATTTCATAATCAATGTTAGACATGTTTCTTATAAAGTAAATAAAAAAAAATGTAAAAAGTTATTAAAAAACAAAATTTTTTCAGCAATTAATTGGAATAAACAAAATACAAGTTAAAAAATTGTCAAAGTATTTGCATGAGAGAAAAAGAATAGCAATAGTGAAAGTTAGATTTTTGTCAGGGCACTCAAATACTCACTATGGCTTTGGGACCGAACATTTTGTTATCATTATCGATAATATTATTATTGATATTCATATCTTCTTTGTTTCTCATCATCTTCGACAGCTTCGATTTTCATCTCATCCTTTTCTTTATTGACCCATTCTTTGAATTGCGTGTATTGTTTTCCCTCTAGGGTCAGTTTTTCATTGATAGAAGCTTTTGATTATGGAGGCTAAAATGTATATCTCTCTTTTCCGAGCAATTCACGAACTTCAAGAGCCATTCTTATTAAAAGAAAAACCTGGAACCAGTTCACTCTTTTTATCAAAAAGATTTATAATATTCCCATAGGTTTTCGATTTTAGAGGGTATTTTTTTTATCAGTAGTTGATTTATTTTAATTTTGATTTTCTTTTATTTATTATTTGATCGATTTTTTTATTTATACAAGTATAGAATTGATTTTTATAAGCTTTATAACGAAGCAAGAAACCAAGAAAAAGTTCAATTAACAATCCACAAAAAAGTTCACAGTTGAAGGTAAACATTTTTAAAATTTGTTGATGAAATATTGTAAATATTGATAAAATAAAATAATAATTGTGTTTAACAGTAATTGAAGAAGGATTGATTTTTTTAATGTGAAATAGGTGAATTGGTAATGTTTTTATAATGTTCGAACACAAAGTGAGATTATTTTTACCTTGTTTTAATCAAATGAGAACAAAGATAGTCTTGAATTTAAAGAAATTCTTTTTATTGATAATTGATGCAACGTAATGCAATATGACAACTAATTATGATTAATATTAATTTTTAAACGGACTTTTACCTTTCCTTTTTTTCAAGTGCCATGTCTCAGCCATTTTCAGTCTAATGTTAAGAAGGCAAAGCCATAAACTATAAATCTTATCAGTAAATGTTTTTGTAATTTTTTGTTCGAATGCACTTTTGAATTATTATTTATTTATGCAGAATTTACATATTCTCAAAATTAAAAATGACAAACAAAGTTTGGGATTGAGAATTAACAGTAAACATTGGTAAGATTGGAAAGCAATGTGTAAATATTATTTTTCAAGAAATTTCCTTTTATAAATGGCAAAACTTTAGACTACCTATGATAACAAAAAGATCTAGATTCAATCAAAAGAAGTATACGTGAAGAATTAATTACTAAGTTTTTTAAATAGTATATATATTGATTTAATTAAAAATTAGATTTCATATGCCGTGTATATACGTTATATAGATGACTTCAAGATTTTTCAATATTGACATTTAATCTTAATGTGAACAAACCTTTTTATTCTTGTTAATAATTGATATTATTAGGTTTTAACCTTTTTTGCAATACCAATGTGAGCAGCTTTTGCAACACGTCCAAACTCCAAACTGCTTTCAGTTTCTGCTTGAGATGATTTTATTGGAGAAATGTTAACTAGCATTAATACCTTGGCATTTCCACCTATTATTAATTTAATTGCCATTAATAAATAAATAAACAAAAACAAACAAACAAACAAACATCATCATCATCACCATAATAATAATAATAATAATAATAGTAATAGTAATATTTACCTAATGAGTTTTTTAAGACATAAGTTAAAATAGAATCGCGATAATTGATATGACTTGTACTTTCCTTGATGTTTTGTATAACGGTTTTTAAACTACTGAGACTTTTATTAATATATATTGTTTCAGTTTGAAGATCTCCTGTTGAATCATATGTCGATATTTTTTCTGAACCTGCTAGATCAATAAGGTTCAGAGAACCTGATCGTGTTTCATTTGTAATCAAATTTAAACCTTCAATATGAATCATGAAGATGCTATGACTTCTTGAAGAATTATTATTCATTTTTGTAGAAGCAACAGAACGATGCTTTGTTGCCGATTCAAGTACTTGATTAACATGTTTTGGTGACTCAAGGTTTACTAAAAAAAAAAAAAAAAATTTCAAAATCTACATCTAAAATCTAAAATCTAATCTAAATATTAATTTTAAAAAAAAATACCTGTTTTTACATTAGCAATTCTTGTCGAACCTTTTTCAATGTCATGCGTTATCTTTATATCCTTGAATTTTCCACGTGGAATCTTAAGTAAATCATAAACATTATCATTATATATTTCAATAAATTGACCTTCAATTGTATAATTCCAGCCCTGAGATTTCAATTCATTGACAAGACTAAAGATGTGTCTAAATGCTCTGGTGATCATACCCTCACTTTCAGGAGTATTGGAACCTTGCATTGTATAAGTTTTTCCTGCACCAGTTTGACCATAAGCAAATATACAACAATTATACCCATCAACTACTGATTGAACAACATGAGCAATCTCAGCATATACTTGTTCTTGAGTACTATCAGATTTGAAAACATAATCAAATTCATATTCCTTGTAAACATTCCTGCTCATTCTAAGATAATTTTTTACAACTGAACCAATCACTATTTTTTTATTATCATAACTTTCTGGGTACTTGATTTCGGTGAGAGGATCATCTTTTTCTGCGGAAGTTTGTGGACGAACTCTGCAAAAAACACGAATGTTTCCCTTTAGATCTTGAATAACATTGTGTAAGTAGCGACGAGTGTTTTCATATTTCAAACATTCTGCATTCAAATGTTCGATTAAATTTTTTCTTTCAATAATCTTTGTTTCAATCATCATTAATTCATTGGCAATCGATTCTTTTGTGGCTTTGAGGCTGATTAATTCATCGCGATCATTTTTAATACTATTATTCAAAATCTCTAATTCCTGAGAACTATTCATGATCTGTGAATTAAGTTTTATAATTTCCTCTTTTGTAGTTAACAAATTTTCTTTAATTTTACTAATTGCTTCTAATGATTCTACTAATTTAGCTTTTTTCAATTTGACATCATTTTTGATTCTATTATTTTCCATAGTATAAGATTCAATTTGTTTGTGAGCTCTAGTAATGTCATCTTGAAGTTTAATATGCTTTTCCTTGAGAATGTCTTTTTCTGTAAGCTGTTTTTTTTTATTGACAGATGATGATGACGATGATGATGACGATGATGATGATAATGTATTGGAAAAAGTTTTAGTTGATTGACTATTGTTGTTTTTTGATACGATGCTTGTTTTTTTATAGATTCCTCTATTTGATAATGATGATTTAACATCATTTAAAATTCTGGGCTTATGTGATATCAAATTTCTGCCAATTTTATCTATTTGCTTTAATTTTTCAACATGGCCATTTTTTTTTATAGGTGACTTTATTTTTGGAATGGAACTACTAGAGGAAGTATTATTATTTGGTGCAGATTGGTTGTTTATATATTTTTTATATGTCATTCTAATAATAATACCAGCAATGAAATAAATTCAAGGTAAAGAATGGTTAGATCTTGTTCAAAACAAACGTTGTGTATAAAAAGTTTTGTAATGTTTTGACTAAAATTAATAATAACAGATAATCGTAATTTCAGCCAAAAATTAAAAAATGTTTCACGAAATAAAAAAACACGTTATAAAATTTAAAAATTACAACACGTGATTACAATTTCTATTCCCCATATTCAAATTTTAAAGTATTCGTATGTGTTTTGGATATTCATAATAGTAATGTTTTTAAGCATTGTAATAATTTTTTTCAAATATTTGTAATCCTTTCGAATTTTTATGTCGGTTAAGAATGTCATAATTATAATAAGTGTTGTCCACCATTTTAAATGTCCCTTGTACTTGGACGTTGTCCGGGACATGTCCCATGTACAACACTGAGATGATATCATCAATATGAATAAAAAATAATATCAAGAAAATAAATTATAAAACAGACACGTCATTGTGGCGTCACCGCAGAAACCACTTTACAAAATCATAACATTGCTTGGATCGTTATCATACATTCTTCATTTAGCATCTCTTGGGAGTTGGCTTATAAATTTTTAACGTGAAATAAGATAATTATTCGAATTTTCACACGACTCTGTCAAAAAAGGGTGCTTATTTCCACAATAACATTGCAATAACTTTATTTAATGATGTATGACGAAACTTTTGACTTTAGTCATTGACGTAACTAAAGTATTGACTAAAGATAGTTTCTCACCATGATGATTTGACTAAAGTGAAAGTCTTGACGTAATTAAATCCACTTATGTAAATAAATACAAGCAGCAATAATAATAATGATAATAAAGAATTATTATATCATTGTACGTACATTGTAATGAGAAATATTACTTTATAAAGCCAGTTGTTCTTTTCCGTATATTTTCTTTTAAAATAAAAATGGCTCTTCTTTTTTTACAAATTAAAATTATTATTTTATTATCACATTTATATAATCAAATTGTCTTTAGATACATATTAGTTTTTCGAGTTTTCGAGTTTTGAAGTTAACTACGCGTAATAGTAATTAATACGTAATAAATATTAATAATGTGCTTGAACTGTCTTTAATTTCCGAATTTGAAGCAACATGGGTTGATCAATATTGGTACTTGGAACGACCTTTACATAGCACGTAAGGCAGGTTTTGAGAGTTTTAATTTATTTTCTATTTTTGCCACTTTTAAATCTTCAAAGAATGCTGAAATTCCTTTGTTGTCGAATCACGATAAATCGTAACAGTGAATTTCGTGAAACACATATTAGTAATGTGCAATGATATTTTTTGGTGTCATAGTATTATAAAATCACATGACTCAATCACACACATATATATTTGTTCGAAGCATCAAAATTAGCACTGGATGCGAAGAATCTTAGCATCCTATCTAGAGATGGGCAAATGTGCATATAGTTGAACACTATACGATACTATACGTATGTATAGTGATGGGAAAACAAAAATATGGGGATCATATTTTTAAAATTTTTAAAATTCCAATTTTGCGCTGTAAAAAAAATTACTGATCAAATCCACCATTATTTTATTGACATAAAAGGTATTGTGATTTTGTTTTGATTTGATTTATATATTTAATTGAATTATTAATTAAATTGAATGAATTAAATATCAAAAAAATCAAACCTGTTTTCACTTTTATTTGATTCTTCAATAAAATTTTTATGTGTTTCATCAGCTTCTTCGATGGCATTTTCGTCAATTTTCTCAATTACGTTGTAATTTATCTGTATACTAGAATAATTTCTTTTAGTTAGAATGGTGGCATTTGGACAAAGGCGTAAATGGTTTTCACATCTAGATACTGAACTAGTACATTGATATTTTTGCAACATAGACATTTAATACGTAATCGCTTATAACCATTAACATCACCAATATATTTAAAGTGTTGCCGAATTGCACTTTGGCAAGTCATGCATGATAAGTTTAAAATATATACTGTATATCGTGAGATTTAATTTTCAATCAATTTTTATGTGCAATATTACACATATTATTTGGCAATAATCTAAATAGGAATTGATTTACGTTTACTATATACTACTATATTAATATAGTTCTAGAACTATACGCACTATACGTATAGTACTACATATGTAAACTCGATAAGTTGGTCTCGCGATAAGTCAGCCAAAATTTCACCCCTTTTTCTTAATATTTAAGTAATTTAATTCGATAAGTCGATCATATGAGCTCACCCTACATGACCGACTTATCGTGTATACCATATAGTACTGATCTGCCCGCCCATCCCTAATCCTATCAATGATGTATTCATGATCAATGATGCGATATTTAATAAAAATAAACAATTTCATGGCCAGATGGTGCATCGACAAGAAAAAATAATATAATAGACCCGCTACTCCCACTTGTGGACCAAAAAATATAAAATATAAAATTT